AAGGAACTGACCTCATAGCCAAACAGTCAAGGCACACTTTGGTACAAGAACTCAGTTTATGGCACTAGATATTACTTATTTAATATCTGCACATAACCATGTCATTTTGCTTACTGATCATGAAGCCATCACATAAAAGGCATATAAGCAACAGGGTCAAGTAAAGTTACATCATCCACACAAACCCTGCAGAGATAATGTGAGAAGGAATGAAAATCCAGTAGCTCTACAGAAGATTACGTGGCTGAGTCTACTCATTAGCAAAGCTTGAAATCAAAGTAGGGTTTGATCTGGTATTTTTACAGGACTCTGAAAGTGACTGAAGCCAAAGAGAACCTACTGGTACACAGAGGGCCTGTAGATAATCAGATGTCAACTTCTTCTAACCTCCTTACCAAAAAACATTACTCGTATAGTGAAAATCCTGTAATAATTCTTTTTGCTTTAGTTGAATGCAGTAATTTACGAGCTTTAATGCCATTAAGAAAAGCAGCAAAACAAAGACAGAAACAGCATCAAATGCTTTGAGATTACAACAGAGAATGTGTTGTTAAACGGAGTTTAAAGTGACAGATCATCTCTGTGGGCAAACAACCAAAGTAATCTTGTAATGGAAAAAGCATGCTATGAATAATGAGGCAGCTCTCTCCAGTACTGAGCTGACAGTGGAGCCAGGTGTCCAAGCCTCATCCCCGCTTTGCATCATCCCCATCGCCTCCAACCTAACAGGCCTCTAGCAACAACATGCCTGAGGCTGTCTGTAATATCATTTACTGTGAGCGTGTCAAACTGCCGCTGGGAAAAAGCAATGGGGATGAGATATGAGCAAATCTCCACTTGCAGGTTTAGATGAAAATCGCTGGACTGCAAAACCAATAAAGCAATAACAGCCACTAGACAGAGTATGGATGGCAGGCCTCAGACTCACCACTGAACTCCCTCGCGTGTCGCGAGACGAGACTAAAGCTGCTGAAATTACTTCAAAAAGCCACAAATTAAATCTATAGAAAGTAGCAACCCTAAGAAACAACACTCCTTAATTTCTACTGCAAGTAGGGCTACAACAATTCGTTGGCATCATCGATGACGTCGACTACAACAAACAACACATTTACATTGTCAATGTGTCGTATACTAATACCACGTCAATGCATGTTTGTAACTGCAATACACTACAGGAAGCTATGGAAGCAGTATCGCCTCCATCGTCTGCCAAGACTGGAGTCAAAACTAATGAAAAAGATTGCACTGCAAACGCAAAGCACGAGGATGGAAGAAAAATTAATTGTCTACATGACTGTTACCTCATCATCATTTCTAATTCTGTTTTGTTTTAGTAGTACTAGGCACAGGCATATACTAGTTTTAAAAAAAATCCAGTGTATTTCCTACTTTTGTCTTACAGAAAGGTCATGAGTTATAGTGGCTTGAACTGTGTAGACAAAGGATGTGTTTGGATCTGAAGTCAAAAATCAACTCAGCTCATCTCAACAGAATAGGGTGGAAAAATAAATGCATCAGCATCAGCGCGAGGCAGAGGAGACAAGGTTATCTGAGGCACAATGGGAGCCCTGGTCCACTTGTTACCATTCTGGCCAGCCCTCTTCTCTCAGGACAGATTAAGGCTGAGCTGGAAGGCATGCAGTGAGCACAAAGAGCTTTACGCATTTTCTTTTTTAACAGCTGCATGGAGGGCATACATAGAAGCAAGCTGTATACAAACTGTTGTGTATGTAATGCTTTTGTCGGGAACAGAACGCTTCTCAGTTCTAGCCTGACACGGGACGATGCCGCGCTCGCTTGGTCGGAGATGAGAAATCTTTCCACATTGCCCTTCGGTTCAGAATTCAAGTTTAAAGAAATGCAAAGGGATACTTTTTATCCCAGCGTGCAGTGCATCAGGGTCTAGCAAAATATGAACGTGGTTTAAATCCATAACTCGCACTATTTTCATCCAGTCAGCCAGACTTCCCCCCCGTGTTAAAAGCAGTCAATGTCAGTAATAGCTAACACAGCAGGAGGTCCACTGCATCTCTCAAATACTGCTTTTTCTTTTTGCATTCTGCACTCTTTCCAAATCACACCAAAACACAATCAATACCGCCTGTAAGAAGACAGGATACGCCTCATCAATAATGGAAGTGTGTTTTGTGAGGAGCGCAATGCTTGATTTTGCCTTGTGTCTTGCTTGTATTTTATTGGCCTCCCAGTGAATAATAACGGCATCTATCCAGAGTCAGCTATTACAAGGCGGCAGGGGAAAACCACCCAGACAGACACAATGATAAAACACAAAAGGACATGCTGCAGATGAACAGTCAGACACACATGAATACTAACAAATGGAAGTGCGCACACACACAAGCAGCATCTATCTAACATTTAGCAGCAGCTCATAAAATAACAGAGGCGCCTCCGGCCAATTTGCCAGACGGAACGTTCCAATTTGACACAAACGCCTCATAAGCATGCACCCTCACACCACACACACACGCACATAAACGCACACATCCAGCAACATTAGCATCAACACACAAGTCAAGCTGGCAACTCAAACAGATAAACAAGCACAAAGCCACATTTTCACAGGTATAAGCTCACAGTATCCAACGACTTAAATCATTATTGGCAGTGATTATTACTAACACATCTATCGATATTAACCATAGCTCTCCTTATCTTTTCACCATTTACTTTCGTAATTCAAATGAATCAAACACGACACAAAGGCTGCAGCCTACACAGTCATTCCAGCCAGCTATTGTTTAGCAGGTTATGTGCTAATTGCCTCTTCTTTACAAAGCTGTGACAGAGGGCTGGATAGCTCTGGATAGCTGTGTGCCTACTTCATCAACTCTGAAAGCCATAGACCACAGATGAAGACATGCAATTGACTAACAACACAAGGAGGTACAAGAAAAAGCTTGGGAACCCTTTGGAATAACCTGGATTTCTCTATTGATTACTGACAGAATGTGGCCACCTAAGACAACTGTGGACATGCAACGTCTGAACTAATAGCACACAGGCAGTTTGAAGTGGCCATAGCAAAACTGTAGAGATGCAAGAAGCCTGAAAATGCTACACGTATATTTCTAACATTCTGGCTGCAACAGAAGCATATTTCATTTCTAAAGCATGGCAGAGGCTTGGGTTTGATTTGCTGACTCTGAGCTTGGGTGGCTTTCAGCACTGAAGAGAACACTGAATTACACACTGCATCAAAAAAGCTCAGGAGCACCCATAGTACACAAACTACTTTTCCAGGATCCACCATGATCTGACTCACATAAAGATCTGACCATTTTTATACGTAATAATATGAGAGATCTTCATAGCTCCAAAGGATTGACAAATGAACAAATGCCTTACAGCAACATCAAATATGAGCACGTATGAAAAACAACTTTGCTAGCGCAATTATTTTGCCCATTTATCAATTAAGAGAACTATTTTCAGAACTTTTGGTTCATAAAGATACCAGTAACATTTTCTATATCAGAAATTTGGACTGCCTTGCTGACAAAAATTCCATCTTAACTGGGCACTGGTTATTTAAAACTACTATTATTTCTTCACTTCAGCAGCTTCTGTTTTTTAAAATGCGTCAGGCACGAGCTAAGCCAGGTATAAATATTGTATTTGTTACAAGAATGAACTCAAGAACCTTTGTGCTCTCTGAGCTCTCGGGGAACTGAGGACTCAGTTAGCTGGGCTGCACTCGTACTAATAGATTTACAGTGTATAACCAACAGGTCAAATTAGCCAGGCAACCCGACCAATCAAAGCAATCTGTGCTTTTAGGGAGGTTTTTAAGAGACAGAAGCTAAAACTGAGCATTTCTGGTACAGGATATGCAGAGCTATTGCAACAGACAACAGAAGTAAAAAAAAATAATAATAATAAATTCTGAACAAGCATCCAAACATATCCCAAAATAAAATGATAAATCTGCAACTGAGCATAATACGAGCACTTAAAGTTTGCATAGTTATGAACTTGCAGACTATTCACAGCCAAAATTTATCAGCTCCCATTTGCCCAAAAGAGCTTTGCAGTGAGTTTTAGCCCCCTGCATAGCCTGTCTAGCCTGCAACTTTAGTGTTTTGGTTAATTGGCGCAGTTCTTAGTGGGCGGCCCTTCTCAGTCAATAATTTCTAAAAAGCCTCTGTACACTTCAGACTACACAGCAAGCAGCAGACAGGCAGAGTGGAGCATTAGCTGCTGAAGAGCCAGATTTGTACAAGTGCTGGCAGAGACCAAAATAGAAAGACTTCACAGACTTCCAAACATATAGATATATAGATAGAGATCGATAGTTTAAGCCATAATTCAGTCATTTTAACATTTTATATGAATCGTTTCTGTAAAACATATTTAATTTGAACAGCAGGTAATGTTGTTAATGTTTTGAAAATGTACAAAATGTTCAACTACAACGAGTGTAGTGGCTGGATCATTGTGATCATCATAGATGGCAGATAAAGAGGTGCATACCAATAAACAAATCCCAATTGTCTTTCCTTGTACAAAAAAGAATTTCTCACCAAGCATTATCAGCTACACTGTCTAATTTTAAACCTAACACTACAACTACTGTGATAAGGCTGACACATTGGAGTGTTAGCCCAACAGTGAGATTATTTGAGTGTTTATTGCTCACTAACAAAGTGCAGATCTATGCACTAAAGAAAGACTTGTTAAATATCTGCAGTATCTCAAATACATTTAGATTTCTCTTGCTCGTCACGTGCATCCTCTTGTTGCAGCCTCTCAGCGATCCTATGCTCGTGTTTGCAAACATTTTTTTTCCCCCTAATGTGATATGCATCCTCCTGGAGGCACTATCGCATGACCTTGTCCACAAGAGAACGAGCCGTGTGTGTTTGTCTGAGTGTTAGGAAGATGGTGTGTGTGTGCACATCACGCATGCATCCAAATGCGACTTATGACTATGTGAGCAAACTGCCGATGGGTAAAGGCATCAGTATCTGGCTTACCAAAGATATTTGTGGAATGTCCTTTCTTGGCGATGGGCTTTAGCTCGTTGTGACCCCAGCCGTACTGTCTGTAGCTGTCCCAGGCATGTTTCATCATCTAAAAAAAACAAACAAAAAAAACCCAGTATGTTAGAAGAAGCAAAGTCCTTTGACACATGTGACATCACTGTCACAAAAAAAACAAAAGGGACACAATCATACAGTCATCATGGTGGTATGATTTCAAGTTGCACTGATATAATTTGCATTTGAGCATTACATTGGTTTATTTACAGCAGCTGTTGTAGCCTGGGTTAGTTGTCATAGGAACGTGAAATCCACCAATCAATTCAATGCAAAACAATAGTGTTTTTCTACACACAGGCCCAATGGCAAAGCCTTGTCTTCTCTCTATATATATCATTATATTGCATTACTTCCTTTCAACCAATCATACAGACATCGGTCTACTGAGCAGAGAAGAATAAGACTCTACTTTTCATATGAGCTTTGAAAAGAGGCTGGAAAAGAGGAGACTCAGGGAGGGAAGGAGGATAAAAAGAGCAAGAGATTGGGAGATGAGCCCTGACATGGAGGCTGATGCTGTGAAGAGGCGCTCCAGGGCAAACAGAGAAGATGACACAGCCAAGGGAGGAAAGAGTGCCAGCTTTTACTGAATCAGTGCTGCTCTCTATCCATTTCAAAACACCTCCTCCCCTTCGCAACTCTTACACATGTGGCATCGTGACATGACAACAGAAAAAAGAAGGCACATTTCCTGTCCATGTGGCCGTGTATTGTATATCACAGTCTCATTTTTATGGATATCTGCTGATTTCTTGCCCTCTGTTGCAGTCTGTCTACATGACTGTTACCTCATCATCATTTCTGGTTAATGATGATCTCAGTTTTGACAAAGTGACTAAGATGTAGAGCTCTTCCCAATACCAATTGAAAGCTGGGGTTTCCCCAACTACAAGCTACAAAATTTACAAAAATGACAAAGTGCATCTCTGGCCCATAAAATATAGACCTGTCATTTTACGGCCACCAAGCTACGCCAGTTTCCCTCTCTGTCCAACAGCCTGCCTCTTTATGCCACCATGTGCAGATGAGCATCCAAATCCTCTTCCAACTTTCTCTCTCCTTGGAGCAGGCATGCAGCCAAGCTAATAAAGACAAGGGCCAGGAGTTTCATTGTGTTCTTGGCTTCGTGGCTTTCCATGACGCACTCCGTTCACGCACCGAGGATTATAAATCAAATTAATACGCACCAGGACATGGACACTTAAACGTTGGCTGACTCCCTCTGATATGTGTTGATTGGACGCTTCATCAAATTCTGATTGGCTCATATGCCAAGGACAAACGCTGCAGTGCGGGGAGCTTGACAATGTTGACAAACTGCTTATTTAAAGGACCTTGGAATACTAATTGGACATTAGGCTACAAAATTCAGTGATTGATTCTGACAGCTACCGCTTGCCATCACAGTATCTTGGGAGATACATGCAAAGGATTGGGGGGAAGGGGGTGGATGGGCTTGCACTGACCCAGTGGCTGATGCACTCTACAATCAGAAGTAAAGCTCCTCAGTAATTTGCTGCAGAGAGGAATTAGCAGCCAAAATGAACACTCCTGTGACCTGTATTCATCAATATCCCTATGAAAGGGCACTGCAGGATGCTAGAAGGTGGCTATTAGCACCATAGATATTATTATTATTATTATTATTATTATTATTATTATTAGGCTTTATGTTGTACTATGTAGTTCAGAGTAAGGAGCAGGAAATTCTGTTAAATTATCCATGTTCTTGTTCCACACTTCAAGTGTTGCTGGAATTAATCTGTTCATGGACATCTTTATAAGAACTTACAAGTATCACAAATACCAATTTCATAATGGAAAACATGAAAAAGTTTTGTGTTTAAGCCAAACTGAACACAAAGCATCTGACACCATGATAAACTGTGCAACAAAGGGTATGTTTAAGTTAATAAACCGTGTTCCCACCCACACTGCACCAAAGATTCCTCCACAAAATGTGCCGTGACACACGTCTTTACCTCTAGTCAGTGCTGCTGGTGATTACTTCTCTTTTCAGTTAGTACCCACTGTGAATCACTACACCTCGGAGTGTGGAGACATCCAACAGCTTGTGGTGTAGGATAAGGGGAGCCTGTTCAACTCTTCAGAGAAGCACCAGTAGAAACACAATGCTGTTGTTTCACATGATTCATCTTTTCTGTGGCAGCTGCTTATACTTATACTATAATCTTGCATATATTTTTAGTTTTAAAATCCCACTTCTATGCTATTTTGCATTTTTCCCCCTCCAACTCCTCAATTTGAACTGTAACGAATGGACAAGTTTTTTTATTGGACAATGGCAATTTGCTTAAACCATTACTTACAAGATAAGAGGATTTTTCCCCAATAAAAAAGTATAAATGTGTAGCTTTCTCATTTGGAGTCTAGGCTGAATCTTACTATCTGCAAGTCTACCAGATCCTGCCTCATTAGTACTTGTCATGACTTGGTAAACATCCTACTGCTTTTTTGTTCTGCCAGGTCTGAAGAACAAACTACTTCAGAAAATGCAGAAAAATATAGCATTTATCCAGGTATAACAGCCTGATGTGTTTGTTGTTGCATTGTTTTTTCTGCTGAAGACCGAAAACTGAAAGCTGCAAGATGATGCAAGAGGTAGTACATAAGCGTTTTATTTATTTATATCCGTTATCTGTCCAAGTAAACATCTCACAGATTAAAAATCTCTTTTTCCAAGAGTGGAATGAGAGCGCAGCAGAGTTTAGAAACGAGGAGGAAAATGTTTTGCGTTTGGAAACAGCTCATCAGAAAATGTCTTCACTCACGATTAATTATTATTGCGATTTTGGCGATATGCTGAGTATTGCAACAACACACATGGCAATTTATCAGCTTTTTAAGCTGTAAATTATGTCCTCAAAGTTAGACTGTCAAAATTTCATTTATCCAATAAAATAAAGAGATAATGTTATCTTACTTGGTTATTTTTTTTGCAACAAAATGGCATTATCAAGTATACCAATACTGCAACCAAAACCTGCCATAAATGTTTGTCACAGTCTGCAACTAATGAGGTCAAGTTGGGAATTATGTGCAATCTGTTTCTGATAATGCAGCAATTAACTGATAACTCGTTGAAGCTAAGTGTGCCCAGTGTTGGATGCTCTTTGAGTCGAGCCGGTTTCATGCTAGTCTGTTCAACTAACGTCATCTCAGGATGACTGTGCATGGGATGAGCCCTCTTGTTCATAGTATTCATTCAACTATTTAAATGTATTTTTTGAAATACTGATATTCGGTGTATCAGCATCCTTTGACATGTATCAAGATATGGCACGTCAATCCAGAATACCAATATAGGAAGACAGCACTGTCAAGGAATATGAATATGTCTTTATGTTCGTAGCCATCTTTTGTTTTGTAACCATTATTTCTGAATGGCTACATTAGCCAGTGATCGAAGCGCTCACTTGTAGTATAGAGAATTTTTAGAAACAATCTCCTGGCAATTACTCCTTATTTTTCCAAATCCAGGCCATTTTTAAAAAATTAAAAAGTCATTAGTCATAAACTGGATCATCATCAATCAGCACACTCGTCTCAGTAAGGCAGCCTGTCCCCATTTCAACTGCATAATGAAACACATTCACACATGGTTTCAGTTTCTGAAGACCAACTTAATAAAATCGTGTCTTGTTGTGTTCTGGGCCTAAGGATCGGGAAACCTGTGACTGAAGGTTTTTATTATCGCCCTCTTCAGTGTTCTGCTTATTTTCATGCTTCCCAGTTTCTATACTGCAACTGCAAAAGTATTAATCATGCAACATTATACACTCCAGCTCACTCTGGAATGAACTGACAGCCCAAGAGTGGCCCTGTGTTATTAAGGTCAGAGCCAGAGAGAGATTAAAAACCTCTCTTTTCCTCCCACACCTTATCAACTGATGAGCTTGAAAGTAAAAAAGTGAAGTCTCACACACGGTGCAGGGTCCAATGGAAAAGGCAGTGGTATTTCTCATTTGAAGAATTTATTTGGCCAGCCCACAAAAAAGATTTGTCTTTCCATTTTGGTTGAGGAAAAAAAATGTAAAAAGCAGTCCGAAGTGTAAAAGGATTTAAAAGGTTAAAGCAAATGGTGAGAAAATGTTCCACTGTGAGATACACCTACCAGTCAAAACCTTCTAATTTAATGGTTTTTCTTTATTTTTACTACTTTCTACATTGTAGATACATACATACTGAAGACATCAAGTATAAGAAGAAAGATATATGCAATAATGTAGCAAAGAAAGAAATCCTAAATAACTCCCAATATGTCCTATGTTTTAGATTCCTGAAAGTAGCCACCCTTTGCTTTGTTGACAGCGCTGCAAACCCCTGGCCTTCTGTCAGTGAGCTTCATGATGTAGTCACCTGAAATGGTTTCACTTCACAGGTGTACCTTGTCAGAGCTTATTTCTTGCCTTTTTATTGGGGTTGGGAGCATCAGCTGTGTTGTGCAGAAGTCAGGTTGGTGCACCGCTGACAGCCCTTTTTGACGAATGTTAGATTTCATATTATGGCAAAAACCAATCAGCTAAGTAAAGAGAAACGACAGTCCATCGTTACTTTAGGAATTGAAGGTCAGTCAGTCTGGAAAATTGCTAAAACTTTGAATGTGTCCCCAAGTACAATCGCAAAAACCATCAACTGCTAGGATGGAAATGCTCACATGAGGAAGACCAGGAGTCACCTCTGCTGCTGAGAATGAATCCATCCAGACTCAGAAAACACAAGTTACCAGCACCTCAGATTAGAGCCCAGATAAATGTCACACAGAGTTCAAGTAGAAGACACATCTCTACATCAACTGTTCAGAGGAGACTGGTGCGAATCAGGCCTTTATGTTCAAACAGCTGCTAATAAACCACGACTAAGGAAAAGCAACAAGCAGAAGAGATTTGTTTGGACCAAGAAACATGAGGAATGGACATGTGATGAAAACCTGATGGAAGACCTGTGCTTTGGTCTGATGAGTCCAAATTTGAGATCTTTGGTTCAAGCTGCCTTTGTGGGACGCAGAAA